TCATTTCTGCAGTGATTTTTTTCCTTTATTTTTAAGCCCGAGTGTTGTCACCTCATTTCTGAAATTTCCTAATTTTTGTTCCTATTGTTCTTTAACATCTGTATCCAATTCTTGAGTATTCTAACATTTCATGCAAAGATGAGCACAGTAAAGGACAGAAATGGTAGGGACCTAACAGAAGCAGAAGATATTAAGAAGGGGTGGCAAGAATACACAGAAGACCTGCACAGAAATGATCTTCACGACCCAGATAATCACGATGGTGTGATCACTCACCTAGAGCCAGACATCCTGGAATAAGAAGTCAAGTGGGCCTTAGGAAGCATCACTACAAACAAAGCTAGTGGAGGTGATGGAATTCCAGCTGAGCTATTTCAAATCCTACAAGATGATGCTGTTAAAGTGCCAGCAAATTTGGAAAACTCAGCAGTGATCACAGGACTGAAAAAGGTCAGTTTTCATTCCAGTCCCAAAGAAAGGCAATGCCAAAGAATGTTCAAACTCCTGCACAATTACACTCATCTCACATGCTAGCAAAATAATGTTCAAAATTCTCCAAGCCAGGCTTCAACAATACATGAACTGAGAACTTCCCAATGTTCAAGCTGGATTTAGAGAAGGCAGAGGAATCAGAGATCGAATTGTCAATATCTGTTGGATCATACAAAAAGCAAGAGAGTTCCAGAAAAACATCTACTTCTGCTTTATTGACTACGCCAAAGCCTTTGACTGTGTGCATCACAACAAGCTGTGGAACATTCTTTAAGAGATGGGAATACCAGACCACCTCACCTGCATCCTTTGAAACCTGTATGCAGGTTGGGAAGCAACAGTTAGAACCGGACATCTAACACGGACACATGGACTGGTTCCAAGTCGGAAAAGGAGTACATCAAGGCTGTATTTTATCACCTTGCTTGTTTTACTTATATGCAGAGTACATCACGCAAAATGCCAGGCTGAATGAAGCACAAGCTGGGATCAAAATTGCCAGGAGAAATATCAAGAACCTCAGATATGCAGATGACACCATCCTTATGGCAGAAATTAAAGAAGAACTAAAGAGCCTCTTGATGAAAGTGAAAGAGGAAAGCGAAAAAGCTGGCTTAAAACTCAACATTCAAAAAACGATCATGGCATCTGGTCCCATCACTTCATGGCATCTGGTCCCATCACTTCATGGCAAATAGATGGGGAAACAATGGAAATAGTAACAGACTTTATTTTCCTGGGGTCCAATATCACTGCAGATGGTGACTGCAGCCATGAAATTATTATTATTATTATTATTATTTTGCAGCCATGAAATTAAAAGACGCTTGCTCCTTTGAAGAAAAGCTCTGATCAACCTAGACAGCATATTAAAAAGCAGAGAGATTACTTTGCCAACAAAGGTCTGTCTAGTCAAAGCTATGGTTTTTCTGGTAGTCATGTATGGATGTGAGAGTTGGACCATAAAGAAAGCTGAGTGCCAAAGAATTGATGCTTTTCACCTGTGGTGTTGGAAAAGACTCTTAACAGTTCCTTGGATGGCAAAGAGATCAAACCAGCCCATCCTAAAGGAAATAAATCCTGAATATTCATTGGAAGGACTGATGCTGAGGCTGAAGCTCCAATAGTTTGGCCACTAATGTGAAGAATGACTCATTGGAAAAGACCCTGATGCTGGGAGGGATTGGGGGCAGGAGGAGACGGGGACGACAGAGGAGGAGATGGTGGGATGGCATCACCGACTCGATGGACGTGAGTTTGAGTAAACTCCGGGAGTTGGTGATGGACAGGGAGGCCTGGCGTGCTGCGGCCCACGGGGTTGGCAAGAATCTGAAGTCTGAACATGACTGAGCTACTGAACTGAACTGGCTGTTTTAAACCACTTTGAAAAGCCACACTTGTGGGTTTTCAGGGTGTTCGGCGCACTTCCCTTGCCTGTCGGGGCCTGGCTCTGTTCCTCATTCTCTCGTTGGTCTCGTAAGTGTCTGGCGCCTGTCCGCACAGTCCGCCTCGGCCACGCTTCTGTGAAGGGCGGTCTCCGCGCCTTTAGCGGCAGCGGGGCTCTGCGCTCCGCGCTGCACACGGCGCCCTCTGCTGTCGTGTTGCGGGACGTGCTCCGCCGTCGGGTTGCGGGCTCTCCCTTCCCCTGGTCCTCACCTCTTGCAGCTGCTCTTGCCGCGGCTGTCCTGGGGCCTCTTGGAGCGTCTCTGTGCGGGGCCGCCTCCCAGGGGGCCCCTGAGCAGGCGCTGTGTGCTCCCCAGTGGTGCTCACCGCCTGCTGGGTTCAGACTCCCCTTTGCCTTCTGTTGCTCCTCCCACCTGGGGCCCCGGGGCCTGTCTCTGGGTCTGGAGCGTGGACCCCACTTCTATTTTATGCCCTCCTTGCTCTTGCGTCTGGATTCAGGGCCGCCTCAACGACACTGCCATCTCCCAGGACAATTTAGGAAAGAAATGAAGCCGAAGGGTCACCCCCCAGAGGTCAGCGTCCAGCTTAGATCTACTCATCCAGTGTGCAGGTCCGCAGGATGGGGGGGGGCGTAGGGAGGGGCCCCCAGGACTCAGGGTGGCCTCGCTCAGGAGTGGAGGCCTTCGGGGAACCGCCCGCACAGAGTGGAAGTCTGAAGACGGGCGGGGTGGGGGTGGAGGCGTCCGGCACTTGGTGTGGTCACCGCGGGATTTCCAGGCAGCAGATTGCAGTTGGGCGCTTGCCTCACGGCACACAGAAACAAGCACTAGCTGAACCAAAGACCTGAGTCTGAGAACCAAAACTTTAACCGAGAAACACAGGAGGACAGGGAGGAAGTCTCTATGACCTCAGAACGGGGAAGACTTCTTAAAAGATCCCCTCCAATTCACGAAATCCTGAGGGGGAGGCGTGTGAATACTATTGCATCAAAACCGAAGCGTGTGACTCTCAGCCTGAGGCCGAGGAGGAGGAACAGTGGGAAGGGCTGTGACGCGGGCTGATTGCCGTCGCCACGGGAGGAGCCCACGCAGATCTGTGCTGTCAGAGACACACAAACGGAGACGGGAGAGTGTGGGGGTCCCTCACAAAATACCCTCCATACCTGCCAGAGCCCATACCGCCCCCGCAGCGGACCGAGTGCGTGGGCCAGGCCAGAGCGTCACCCAGGCACGAGCTGTGTCCCTGCCCGGGAATCCGTGGCGAGCCCCCTCTGCGCCCCCCATCTGGAGAGAAGGAGGCTGGGCGGGTGTCCTGCATTTTCACGGCTCCCACTGGGGTACGAGGGAAGGGAGGGGCAGGGAGGGAGACCGTGATGGCCCCCAGGTCCCCTAGAAGCCGAGGGCCCCTCCCCACAGCCCCACCACCCCCAGGGCCTGCCCGGCCGAGTTCCCCGTGCCCCCGCACACCTGGGGCCATCCTGACATCTGGCCCTTGCACACAGCAGGTCCGCGGGGGAAACCCCATGGGTTTGGGGTCAGTGAGTGAGGCGGGGGTCTGAGTAATCTGGGGGTCCTTAGGGAGCTGCCTACATTTGACCAAGACTGAAGGAACATCACAGACGATGGAGTGTAGAAAACATAAAAACAGTGTGGAGGAGAGGACAGACAGGGAGGAAAGGAGGGAAACGAAGACAGCATGTGGGGGGGAGAGAGCGGCATGGCGGGACGGAGGGAACGTCCACCGCGAAGGGACACAGTGTCAGGGACACGCGGGTCCAGCACGGTGGTCACAGCGCAGGGGGCCCAGCGGAGACGGGGCGCGGGAGCCAGTGAGGGAGCCGGACACCTCATCTCGGATCAAATGAGTACAGTGAAGACGGCAAATCAGGAGATGTGGCTGACTTGGAATGATCACAGCAAAAGCCACGGAGAAAGACAGGAACGAGGAAGCCGGTGGTGTCACCAGAGCAGAGGCCTGCGCTCAGGTGGGAGTGGAAATGCGCCCTGAGGTTACGGAACAACTGCATCGTCCAGCCAGAAGCTCACAGGGATCCAGGAAGGGCCCGGCCTGGGCCGGAGCGAAGCCTGCAGGCCCCTCGGCAGAAACACCGGGGGAGGGGGTGAGGGGTGGGCTCAGGCTTCTCACCCTTGCGGAGGGTCTAGGCACAGGCTGTGGACCTGATGATGCCGTTCAACCCCACAACTGCTGACTGCGGTCAGACACACCAGTGACAGGGGCCTGCCTGGGGTGGGGGCAGGCCGTTGGCTCAGGGATCCGCATCCTGTCTCATCATCCCACTCCTTAACCTTGGGGGGTCCTCGAGAAGTAACCCCTCCCGAGGCGAAGAAACATTCAATTAAAGTTTAGCCATTTCTTTGGTTTTTCCTATTAAAGTAAAATTAAAATACTGATTTTAAATGGAATAAAGTAATTTCACTTTTATAAAATCTTTGTTATCTGTTTATCCAGGAACAGTATATTTGCCTACAAAGATGTCTAGAACTATGTCTTCCTAGGATAAATAGCATTTATTTCTCTAAGAGGGCTTTGGAGCTAGATTTATTTGAACTTTTCTGCTTATATATTCTACGTCCCCTGCGTGCATGCATGCTAAGTCACTTCAGTCGTGTCTGACTTTTTGCGACCCCATGGACTGTAGCCTGCTAGGCTCCTCTGTCCATGGGATTCTCCAGGCAAGAATACTGGAGTGGGTTACCATGCCTTCCTCCACTGCGTCCCTTATGCCCCTTTCTAAATAAAATATAAAGTGTCTGCAAAGATAATAAAGCTATTAAAATAGGATGTCATATTAGGGTAAGCAAAAAAGGGGTATGTGATAAGAAAGTGGAGGTTCCATGTATTGCTGGTGAGGTGGAGACTGGCGTGGCCACTTCGCAAAGCAGCAAATTCCAATAGGAACCCGCGACTCCCGCGTCCAGCAAGCCAGCAGCTGGGCGTGGAGGGGGGCCGTGCCCTCCTGCCCCAGGCGGCGGCAGGGATGACTCTGCCAGGTGAGGTGGAGGGGGTGTCAGTGCTCCTGCGAGGGAGACCCCGGCCACGGGAGGAGAGGGTGACGCGGACCAGGAGGCCTGAGATGTACTCACGGTTCACGCGGCTCTTGCAGGCGAAGCCCTGCAGACAGAACATTGAGAGGGAGTGAGGGCTCAGCGGCCGCCTCGAGTCACCCCCAGAGCCCCACCCGGCGACCCGCGCCCCTGGACCTTCAGGCCCACCCCCGACACACGTGGCGCTCCGAGCACCGCAGCACCCGCCGGAGCTGGCGGTGTGGGGCCCGGGGGCAGGGAGAGAGCAGGTGGCAAGGACCCGGCTCACGCCAGGCAGTGACGCCTTGGGTCAGGTGGGAGATGAGGGGGCTCGGGAAGGTGGGGGCCCCCTCGCGGGCAGAAGCTCCAACAGCTGGGGGCTCCTTGCCGGCACAGGTGGGGGTGGGGGTCTGCTCCTCCTCCCTGGGTCTGGGGGGCAGGCACTCCTGGCGGTCCATCTCCAGTGCTACCCCCCTTCCTAAATAGTCTTCATTTTGGAGTAATCTTAGGTTTATAGAAAAGCTGCAAGGATGGCATTGAGCTTCTCCCAGTGACCCCGGATGCTAACACCTGGGTAACCGGATGTCACTCCTGGCTGCGCCCCAGACTCTGGGCCCCCTGTCCCCACCCAGGCACCTTGTCCGCCCCAGCCTTTTCACCATCACCCCTCATCCCCCTGTTCTTCTGATCACGACATCCCCCTGAGACACTAAGGCCGTCAGCCCCCAGCTGCACAAACCCCACTGAGGTGACCCCAGGGGCCTGCCTCTGGTCCTCGGGCTGAGGAAGGTGACCGGGGGTGGGGGGGCCCAGCTGGGTAAAGGGGCTGCACCCGCCTGGGTGCCCCGCCCAGAACCCGACCAAGCAGACAGGCAGAGGGTGAGACGGCCCCTCCAGTGGGCCCAGGGGCCAGCGGGCGACGCGGGGTGGGCCCAGCAAGGCAGGCCGGCCGCGGGCCTGGGCCACAGCCCTGCGTGGCCGCCTCGGTCCTCCCACAGCCCCGAGGCCTGGAACCAGCCCCCGCATCCCTGTGGCCTGAGTCCACCCCCTCCCAAGCTGGCAGGGGCTCCAGGGAGTGGGGAGGTTGACCTGTGTCCTGGCCCTGGGGCATGGCCGCCCCTGGAGACCACCTGTGCTTGAGGACCACAGAGCCACCGCCCTGGGTTACTGGTGGGGGTGGGTGTGGTCTGGTGCTTGGACCTTGGGTGGCCAGAACCTCCCTGGGGCAAAGGTCAAGGTCAGAGAGCCCCGGGGGATGGTGGCGCCTGGGGGAGCTGAGGGTGGCGGACGCGGGAGCGGCCGGTCTGCGCCTTTTGTCGAGGTGGGCGGGGGCGGAGAAGCGGCTGCCCCTGCCCTACCCCCCACCCTCGGGGGTTTCCACCGTTGGGCTTCTCGGGGCTTCCCAGGTGGGTAGGCAAGGGGGGCGGTCTGTGGGGAGGGGCCCAGCGGGCCTGGTCCTCACCCTGCCGCCCTATCGGATGGGGAGGACAAGGTCCTAGGTGCTTGGGGCGGAGCCCCGACCGCCCCCCAGCCCCAGGCGCCCCGTGCTCAGCGGCTCCTCTCCCCACCTTCCCGGCCCCGCCCTGCCTGAAGGCTGTCAAGGCCCAGAGCGCTTCGGGGGTCTCTGTGCAGGTGGGGGCGCTTCAGAGGCGGCCGAGGCAGCCCACCACCCGGGGCTTCCTGACCCCTCCCCCAGCCCCTCTTCCAGCGGCCCCTCCCCCAGGCCTTTCAGGCTCTGTCCTCTGCTCTCCCCATCCCACACCCCCCTCCCTTGATCCCGCCGCCCCAGCTGGGTGCCAAGGCGGTGCCCGGGCCCAGCCCTCTCCCTGGGTGGGGGGCCGCAGCGGGCTGGGGGGCTCCTCCGGCCTCTCCCTCCCCCCCCAGCCCTTCCCCCACCGTCCAGGCCCACCCCACGGAGGGAGCCCTGCACACCGCTGCGGCCTCACCGCTGTCCCAACACCAGTCCTCCGTGTCTGGGCTTCTCAAACCCTGTATTTCAAAATTCCCGTATTTCCCTGAGCCCAGAGAACGCCTCCGGCCTGGGTCCAGGTGCTACAGCCGCGTCTTACAATTCATCCTGGCTTCTTCCTTCCCTTGAGGTCGGGACCCAGTACCGCAGCTCCACCTCACATTGCCCCCGAAGCAGCCCACCCTTTCACCATCACCACGCACCACCCCTACTTCAGCCCGGCTCTTCCCTCTGCACCCACCAGTCCCACCAGGATCCAGAAGGACCCACCATGGGTCCCTGCACCCAGGACCTGAGTCCCACTTCTGAGGCTCTGCCTGACCCCGGCCCCCCAAGGCTGCCCTGTCCCTCCCTGGACCCTCTGCCAGATGCACTCCAGGCCCTGGGGAGCTGCCTTGCCTCCTGACTCGGGGCTGACTGTGTGCCCCAGTGTCCCCCGAGCTCTGGTGCCAGCTGCCACCGCTCCCCAAGCCTGCTTGCCCTGTGTCTGCCCCGGTCCCCGCGACCCCCACCTGGAGGAGGGCCCGTAACTGGGGCTCCCCGGCCCCCGGCCCAGCGACCGGCCTCCCCAGTCTCAAGCTGGGGTACCTCTGAGGACAGGGTGCTGCTGGCTGGGGCACCGTGGGGACAGTGAAAGTCCCAGGACACCACTTCCAAGCCACATCCTTGCCCCGAGGCGCCTTCCCACCCAGAATGAGCTTGGTGCCCACAGCATTTCCTCAGCTGGGCGTCCACACAAGCCCGGACACCGCCCTAGCCCGCACCCCGGGTGATGAAACGGCCCTGTGAACACAGGACGGGCCGTGCCCCAGCATGGCTCCCTGGGAAAGGACACTTATGGGGCCTTGGTGCCCCACACGCTCCAGGCAAATGCTTCCCCGACTGGCACCGTGGGTCAGGCCACTACCTCGGGGGAGCCGTGGGCCTCCGACCACCCACCGCCCCAGGCCCCGGGCCCCTTGCTAGTTACTCTGAGTCGCGTGTGTAGCGGGGCCAGGCCAGCGGCCAGCCAGGCGGAGGCAGGGCCCCTCACAGGAGAGTCCAGTAGGGACAGGCTCACCTGGGAACAGGAGAGGCCGCATTCCGTGACCCTGGGGACGGCCAGGCTCTGGTAGGTGCCCCAGGTCAGGCAGAGCAAGGCGACGGCGCGCCCAGCCAGCATCTGGCCCGAGAACGGTGCCCGCCAAGCACGGGCACGAGGGGCGGCCCGTGGTGGCTGTGCCTTGCCTTCCTGGCCTGTGGCTCAGCCTGGAGTGAGCTCGCTCCTGGGGCAGACACTCCCCCTCCCAGTGGGCCGGCCACAGCCACAGCCCACAGCTTCCGCCTGCAGGCTCTGGCCCCTGGCCAGACGGCCTGGAGTTTCCAGGCTGTCAAAGGAGACGTCCTGGAACTGTGGGGCTCTGGGGTCTCCAGTGGCTGGGTGCCCCTGGGGCTGGCGGCCGGGGTAGGGCTGCCTGTGGGTCTGTGGGCTCGGGGAGCCGCCCTGCACCCCCCATGATTCCTCGGTGTCCCCCCCGCCGCCCCGTCTCGCAGGCCTCTGTCCCAAAGTCGGGAGATGGAAGGTGGCCCTTGCCCCGGTCGTCAGCCTCAGCGGGGCTGGCAGAGAGGTGGGAGCCCTACCCGGAACCAGCCCCAGCGCCCACAAGCCGGGGCCACCCCTCCAGTCCTGAGTGCCCCGTCCCTCCTCTGGGTGTGAGAGGCTGCCCCACCTTGCTGAGCCCTTGCTCCGCTGTCCATCGCCGAGAGAGCGCTGCCCCGAGGCTGACTCTGGGGCCTGGCTTGTGCAGGGAGCTCACTCTGTCCCTTCTCCATTTGGGTCATCTGTGCAGAGACCTCCACGCAGGCGCTCACAGCGCCCTGCCTGCCCCCAGCCCTAGGCTGAGGTGTGGCCCGGGGGTCCTTGGTCTCCTCCCCGGGTCCAGCCTGCCTCCCTCACTGGCTGGCAGGTCTGAGCACCTCTGGCCCCGAGGGCACGTCCCCTGAGTCGAGGCATGGAAAAGAGGGAGTTGCTGGAGAGCCCGGACACCCCTCCAGGGCCCAGAGAGCTGGGGATCTGCTTGGAACCCCAACAGGGCGCTGCAAGCGTGGAGGGGAGCTGACCCAGCTGGCAGCACCCCCGGGCTGGCTCCCTGGGGGGCCCCAGGCCCTGGCTGCTCGCCTGTCTGTCGCCCCCTCGTCTGACCTGAGATGGGAAGTGGACTCGGGCCACAGGAGGCAGGAACCAATATGGGAAACCCCTGATGGAGCTTAGTCCTCGGACGTGGGACCCGCCGGCAAACATCACCCAGGACCATGGTCTCCGCTGCCTGCGCCCCCACCCCTCCCAGAAGCCAGAGGCAGAGCCAATGGGGGATGGAGCCCTCGGGGCAGTGTTCACCTGTGGTCCCCCGTGGGGTGCGGTCAGCTGTTGGCTGGGGCATCTGGGGTGGCCGGGAAGTCCAGGCGCTAGTCCCCCCACTGTCCCTGGCCTGGTCCCCTCTGAGTCAGGCTGCCAGAGCTCCCTGGGTCAGCCAGAGGGCTCAGGTCAGGAGGGCTGCGGGCTGTGTGCCCAGACGCTGTCCACTAGGCCGAGCGGGGAGGACCAGCCTGAGGCCGGGACTGAGTGCCACCACCTGTTTTCTCACTCAGGGGGCAGGTGGGGACTGTGCACCCAGTGACTCTGTGGGCACTGGCTCTTCACGAGGCCCCGGTCCTGGCCCACCTGCTGGCCAACACCCCCAGGGCCCAGAGCACACCATGCCAGTGCTGAGGGGCTGCAGGCGGTCAGAAACGAAGCTGCCACCAGAAGGAACAGGCCCTGTGACCCTTCACAGGCTCCCCGTCCCCTGTAGGTGCGGGTGGCCGGGATGCCCCAGCCTGAGCTGAGATGCTGCAGGGGCTCACCCATCTCCGGTCTCCGCAGCCTGCACGGCCCACGGACGGCCCGGGGCCCCGAAAGTCCACCTGCGGTGGACCCTGAGGTGTTCAACCCCGTGTGGGCGCCCCTTCACCCCCTCGTTCAGTGCCCGGTTAGAAGGAGACGCTCGGGTGCACAGAACCTGGAGCAGCACAGCCAGGCTTTTGCTGAATCAATGAGTGAACAAGGGGCCTCTGGGGAGGGGGCGGCCTCCAGCGAGGAGGGCGCCTGGGGAGGGGCGCCCGTGGCAGGGTCCACCTCCCCCCGGGCAGGGCCGCGGGCTGAGAGGGAGGCAGGGGGATGTGGCACAGGCGGTGCAGCCAGGGGCCCGGGGTGAAGGCGGGCTTGGGGCGCGGGCAGCGGGCGGGCCGGGGGCCGAGGTTCCATAAGAAATACCAAGGTGAAGATGCACAGGTTCGCTAAAATAGCTCTGTATACAAGGTCCCGCATCTACGTGGAGGTTTTCAAAGAAACGAACCACGCTCTGGAGGCCGCGGGGCCCGGGCGCGTCGCTCTGGCCCTGGTGCTCGGCGTCACAGGGTCCACAGGCCGCTGCCTAGCTCGTCGCCGAGGGGCACGAAGGAGGCGCCCTGCAGGACGGCGGCGCAGAAGGAGCGGCAGCGCTTGCAGGGACCGGCGGGCGGCAGCGAGCCTCGGCACACCAGGCAGGGCGCTGGGAGGGCCCTTGGCAACCCTACGGCGGAGAGAAAGGGAGAGAAGTGTCCTGAGGCTGCACCCGCCATCGCCCGCCGTGGCGCGGGCCTCCTCCCGGATCGCGCCCCCCCGCCCCGGATCGCGCCCCCCGAGGCCACCCACCAGCTCCCAGACTGCTCCGGTCAGCCCGTGAAGTCGCCACCCTAGACCAGGCCCACTGGTCCCGCGCCAGGACCTCGTCTCTGGCCACAGTCATGGGTCCCTGAGACTCTGGGCCCCAGGGCGTGCCCCCTCGGACTAGCCCCCCTCACCCCCTGCGAGGCGCTGGTCTCCCCGGAGGTCAGTCCCAGATGGCTCCCAAGCCCACCCGTTCCCACACGGAGTACATCCGGCTACCCCGCTCCCAGAAAAGCCAGGACCTCCACTCCAGGCCGAGGGCCGAGGCCCTGGGGACTGCGCTCGTCTTCCCCGCCCCAGGAGAGGAGTCCCGGTTAGGGTTAGGGGCAGTGAGCGAACCCGGGGACTCTCGTAGGAGGTTATGAGCACGCTCAAGATGGCTGGAGCCCAGAGCCCCATTGGCACCCACGAGCCTCCCCACAGAGCCCTCCTGGCGTCCAGCCTCGGGAGCAGGGTCCCTGGACTGCCCCCTCAGGGCCCGCTCAGGAGACCTGGCGGAGGACGCCTGCTGACCAGGAGGGTGCTGGCCCCAGGGCCCTGTGGGCACAGGACGGGGCTGCGGGACCCTGGTTCTCCGCCCCTATCCCGCCTCCTCCCCTGGGTCTCCCCTGCTGCTTGGACAGGGGCCGCGGCCTCCAGAAGGACACACTCCTCCGGCCCCGCCCTGCGGAGCCTGGGCGCCTGGAGCCCCGTGGAGCGGAATCTGGTGTTTCTCCAGGATTTCCCCAGTTCCTCCAATAGCCGAGGGGCGTGAGCCAGCCGGCAGGACCTCCAAGAGGCTGGACCAGCCCCCAGAGCCAAGGGGTGAGGCTCCCGCAGCGTCTGCCCTTGCTCTGAGCAGCCCCATCTGTGGCCTTTCTCAGGGAGTGGGGTGGACCCGCACCGCACGCCCACCCCTCCCCCGTGCTCCGGGCCGTGACTCAGCCTGGGGCTGCCGAGCCTCTGAAGGCCGGCTCCGGGCGAGCTGCAGCCTGCCCCTGGGCCGGCGGGGCCGCGGGGGCTTCCCCAGGCTCTTCCGGCCTCGGGCCCAGCCCAGGAGTGCCACGGGCTGAGCTGCCACATCTGCCGGAGCCACCAGCAGCCCGGCCAATAGCCAGGCTGCGTCACTTCTCCCCAGGGGCAGGCGGGGCGGGAGGGGCCGCCCCATCCCTATGCAAAGCAGCCCGCGGCTTCCCGGAGCCTGGAGCAGCGCTAAGCCCGAGCCCAGGAACGGGGCCTCCCCGGGGACGGGAGCCAGCCTGGGTGCGCCGGGGCCTGCACGGCACGTGAGGGTGCAGGAGGCCGGGGCGGGGGGCCACGTCTTCAGGTGAGCAGGTGCAGAGGCCAGGGGGCTGGTCTGTCGGCAGCCCAGGCCTAACGGGGGTGGGGCGGGCCGGGCCAGACTCGGGAGGGGCCAGGCCCTCAAGGGCAGAGGGGCGGCATGAGGAAGGCAGGGGGCGCTGCGCCGTCCCTCAAGGGCTGGGGAGGGGGTCGCTGAGACACAGGGGAGCCCCGCGCTGCACATCCTGGGGTGAAGGAGGGGGTGTGTGGGGAGCAGGTGGAGGCCCCAAAGTGGGGCGAGTCCACTCAGGAGCTGGTGCGCTGGATCCAGATCAGTCCTTCTGGGAGAAAGCAGCTCGCTGAGCCGACTCCCTGGGAAAGACCCTGATGCGGGGAGGGATTGGGGGCAGGAGGAGAGGGGACGGCAGAGGAGGAGATGGCTGGATGGCATCACCGACGCGATGGACATGAGTTTGAGTAAACTCCGGGAGTTGGTGATGGACAGGGAGGCCCGGCGTGCTGCGGTCCATGGGGTCGCAGAGTTGGACACGACTGAGCGACTGAACTGAACTGACCATGAAACATGAAAAACACCTTCTGAAAAGCAACAAAAGGCAAAAAGCAAAACACGATCAGGTGAGTCTGCAGGGATCAGCCTTTGTGGACCAGGACCATCCGGCTGGAGGTCCCAAGGCTTGAGGGGTGTGGGAGGCAGATGCCCACCCCCAACGAGGGGTGAGAGGCACCCTGCCCCTCGAAGGGTGGCAACCCCAAAAGTTCACACCCTGGGCGAGCCCAAAACACACCTTCCCGGCCCCAGGGAGCGCGAGTTTTTGGTGCTGAGCAGGGTGGGTGGAAATCCCAGGGAGATTGTAGCCCCGAGCTAGTCCCAAACAGGAAACAGGTCTCGTGACAAGTTCTCATCCCTGGGCTTGAGGCGGGGCGCGGAGGGTGCCAAGCGTCAGGCTATGAGCTTAAAGTGATGTGGGCAGCCTTGCTCAGGAAGACGGAAGATGAGGGGCCGGGGAGGGGTCATCCGCCAGGGCACACGTGGCTCTCTGAGGGGACATGCCCACATCCTGGAAGGAATGCAGACTTCCTGCAGTCCATTTCTTAAAGAAAATGATCCATCTCTAATAAAATGTGAGAGTGTGGGCAGAATCAGAATGTGGCCTATGACTTCACAAGCTGATAGAATTATCAGACACAGAACACTACATGATTTCATACCATTTAGAGATTTTAGGCAAAGGAAAGGAATTATAAAGAATAGCCAAATTTATTAAGAAGTAGCGTTTCTAAAAAATGGCTCTATAATAACTAAAACATTTCGATGGATGGGATTCATGGTGCTGTAGACTCTGAGGACAGAATGAACTGGAAGGCAGAGGAGGAGGCTATGCGGGTGGCCCCACGGGAAACCAAATGGCCACTGGGAGGTTCAGTGACATGGGAGGTGGGGGGGAGCCGGGGGGCAAACACCCCCGAGCTCCGAAGGCAAGGAGAGGTGGTGGAGTGGAGGCGGTACTCAGAGGGTTAGAGGCTGAGTGCTTCTCGTAAACCATTAAAGACACGAGTGTGCCGACTAATGAAGCTCCGAGATTTCCAGTTTGAATAAACACAAATAAAACCCCACACCCAGACCCGTCCTTAAAACAGTCGGAAATTTTGCAGGCAGGTAAGACAGTTCACTTTTGGAAAGCTGTGGATTTGGCCGAGTATCTCTGAGAGCATTGGTGGCAGCCAAGGAGAAAGGTGCTGAGAGGACCCCTCTGGGTGCCCACTGCAGAGAGCCTGTCTCTTTCAAGGTGAGTGTCGGAAAGAGAGGATAGGTAAGAGCTCTGTGGGGGAGTCTGAGACCTGAGGGGGGTGCAGGGCGGAGGGCCGCCGTGTGGTCTGAGCACACAGTACTAATGTCCCGTGTCTCCAGGCCCGAAGGCCACTCGTCCTGCTGCTGCTAAGTCGCTTCGTCGTGTCCGACTCTGCGACCCCGTGGACCACAGCCCTCCAGGCTCCTCTGTCCATCGGCTTCTTCAGGCAAGAACACTGGAGTGGGTTGCCATGCCCTCCACCAAGGGATCTTCCTGACCCAGGGAGTGAACCTGTGTCTCTTACGTCTCCTGCGTTGGCAGGCAGGTTCTTTACCACTAGCACCAATTGTCCGGGTGGGAATAAAAGTAGGATTTAGACATTAACCTCAGCATGCAGCTGGTCATTTCTATGCAGCAGCCAAAAGACCAGAAACAGAGTGTGTGACCTCCAAACCAGGAGGAGGAGAAACTGAAATGACAAAAACATTAATGAAAATAAGGCAAGGACAAAGAGAAAGAGGAACATGAGCTGGAGAAGGATAAACAGACATCAGATGCAATCAGATGAGAGGTTCTGTGGGCGTGAGGCTCCAAGGCGGCCCCTGGTGAGCCCCGCCTCCTGCGCCCCAGTCTGGGGCAGACCCCTCACGTCACATCAGGCCAGGTGTGTGGCCAGCAGAACATGGCAGAGGTGACACTGTGACTTCTCAGGCTGAGCCACAGAAGACATGACTCCAGGGGCTGGTCTGGAATTTCTTGTTCTGCAGATGCTCCACCTGCCGTGAGGTCACTCAAGCGGCCCTTTGGAGGGCCCGTGAGGTGAGGACAACGTGAGGCCTCCAGCCCTCACCCGGGTGAGTGAACCCTTGGAAAGCGGACCCCACCCGAGTCAAGCCTTCACATGACGCAGCCTTGGCCACGGCCTTGACCGAACCTCATGTGACACCTGGGGCTTGGACCACAAGGTTAAGGCCCTCTCGGATCCCTCAGAAATGTGTGGGCGAGCAGGTGTTTGTTGTTCTGGAGTAATCTGTGTGCACAGTCCACGCCATCTGTATACACAGACAATCACACAGGACGTAAATGTGAGATGCACTGGTTAAGAGAGTGGTCAGTTTGGATTCAGAGTTTGGGCGCTCTTGCCCTCTGAGATGGACTACATTCTGTCTATGGAGTGTGTCTCTCCCAGAATAAATCCGCTTTCACTCTAAAAAAGAAAAAAAATCAGATTTTATACAGAGAAATATGTAAGACCCAAGATTAGAGAGTGACTGAAAGGAAAAGACAGACCAGGGAAATTCTAACCAAAATAAAATTAATAACGGAGTCTGAAGAAATGCAGAGCAAAAGTTGTCGGGATTATAAGAAGCGGATGTGTCCCCAGAGGTTGTCATCATACTTGGGACATGCACACAAGAAAAAGCAGAAAGAACATAAAAGGTTTGAATGCCACACTAAACAACCCAACTGCACGTGGGATAGTTGACCAGCATGGAGCACACATTGTCTTCCCCAGCACTGACCACACACAACACCCCTCAGCGAAGGTCTGGTGCTGCAGTGACCCGGCTCCGGTCGAAACATGATTATGCCGACAAGAAAAAGCCAAGCCACTTACAAAATCTGATGTGAATATATTTAAAGGAAACCGATTTCTAAGTAACTTAGAGATCAAAGAAATAATTGTAATGAAAATTTTAAAATATTGATCTGAATAATACCCCAAACACTATATTTCAAAAATTTTCAGATACAGTTAAAGGAGAAAATAAAGGGTAATTGCCATCCTCAA